TATTTCAGTCACATATTCAGTCTTCAATGTTGATTTTAAACAGGAATCAGATCTGCCAAGTTTAAGCATCTTAAACTGAAATCGGCTTCTACATACCCAGAGAAAGGTGTCTTCGGACCTGAGTGTCGAGCAAGTCGATTGGTTAAGTTTGGGAGAACATTTCAGCATATTTGTGCTGCAACACGTGGTCTTCTAGCAGAGCGTAAGAAAAATAAATCCGCTCTTCCAGGCCGAACGAGAGCGGTTTATGTTCACTTCTGGGCAGCCTGAAGAAGCATAAAATGCAAATTTGGACTTTCGGATCCGCATTTGCACATTAATGTTTTCTCTCACACAGATGCAGATGCTAATCATAGTAGCACTTTTATTATGGTGGCTCATGTTCCACCAATTAAAATACTTCCTTTAGCAAATCAAAGCCATAGATTCGACCAATTCCGTCAACGAGCCGCATAATTATCATCGGATCCTTTGAAAGAGTTCTCCTTTCAAAGGGTAATTAGGAGACGTTCGCTGGGCTGGAATAAAGCCAATCAACCTGGTCATCACCAAGATGCAGTTACGGTGACATGTGTAACGTGCAGCTCTCTCTTTGCATGTGCCATTAACCTTCTCTGCATGTCAAAGGGAGTGCTTATTGTGAAGCCTGAGTAGATACGGCATGTATTGACCATGACACACACACACACACACACATATACACAATGTATAAAATGTTTGTCCGTACCAGTCAGTGTGTGGGCGTATGCACAGATACACTGTGTGCATACTAGAATAACTGGTGCAAGTGTCCCTGGTTGCTATAGGAACATCAGCAGCTCACGACTGATTAGAAATCTCCTTGATGATGAAGTGGCCGTATGTATGTGTGTCAAGGTTGTGTGTGTGCCTGTGAAGCTTTGAACCCAATTGACCCACGCAGCCGTTTGGTTTCCTGAGGAACAACAGAGGAAGAGAGTTTGCTAATGTGCACGCAGTTAATAATATTAATTGTCGCCTCACATGAAGATATTTTAATTATAATATTCACACACCTTTAATGATTTTGATGTGTTTTGATACAATACTTGAAAATGGCGAACATCTTTGACTTACCTCATGTGGGCAAGCATGTCCACAAAGAGTACAAGTTGGACAAGTTTTAAAGCACCCACTGAAAAGTAATCATCTTTTAGAACACAAGGTAATTATGGCATACTTCAAATTGTATGTCCTTCCTTTAGTATTTCCAACAATATTTTCATCTTTTGTATTTATTCCTGTTTCCCTGACCCAACATTCCTGTGCAGCTAGTAAGTGCCATGGGCGCAGGTGGCCAGCAGCATGAATCCTTTTCTCTCCCTCTGGCATCTGTTGCTCTTTACAGCAGTGATCTGGAGTTATACTCCAATCTCCAAATTGCTATTAAATTGCAGTGATGTGGCTTTAGAGCCACTTTTGTTAAACTGTTTCCCACATTTTAAAATGATCTTTCCCTCACTGTTTATGTATCTCTATAATTTTTCACTAGACAAACACAACACATGGTGGCCTTCTGTGCAAAACCATCATGTAATTAAAAGGTGAAATATAGTGTGTATAGACGCACATATATACATACATACATACATACATACATATGTATATATATATATATATATATATATATATATATATACATAGTTATACATAGTTTATACCAGTTTTGGAAGCATTTTCATTTTCATACCCTATTCTTGTGTGACAGCTATTGTTGACACAGAGGTGACGGACGCTCTCATAGTAAAGATCATGTGAGTGTGTCTGGTTTTATGTGTGTGTTTAAGAAGGTGCTGTAAAACCTTTCTCTTTCTCTATCTATTGTGATGTAAGCCTATTGTACATATTTGTATCCATGTCTCCCATTATGTTTGCTTTCATTCACTTTACGATCAACAGTGAAAGTACCACTGTACAGGATGAATTTTCATATCAAAAAAACCTCTGTCCATCATGTGACTAAAACTGAAAACAGAACAAAGTCATTTACAGCCATTTTACCAACATAAGTCACTACTACTGTGATATTTGTTTAAATGATCAGTCTCGTTTGAATACGCTGTTAGATTTCGTTATATATCTAATCAGATATGATTTACAGTTTTGCAGATCACACCAAAGCCTCAAAATCGCTTTGTAACCATCCCTTGATTTAAGTACAAATACATTTTCCCATTTGCACTTTGTTTGCAATTCTGCAGCACACTTCTTGCAAAAACACTACACACTGTTTCTGAAATTCAGACACTTTGTTCATGAATGAAATCTCTTGCCATCACTGGGAAACACTCAAAATTTCTCAATTTGATTGTGCAATGCTTTTCAGATTAGCGTTGGAAAGTGTGCAACCGCCTCGATGTCTCTGAATCCCTCTTCCACTGATTGCAGAAGAGGCATTCAGAGACATCGAGGGGGAATCATTCCAGTGATATTTTCCCTGTTGCCTAGCCAGGGATGACATTGTTAGTGATGTGGCCAGACCCTAACAGAAGGCAGGATCCATAAAGCATCCACACCATCCTCGACAACATAACAACAACCCATTACAATACTTGTTGTAAAAACCTGCAATGGCAAAAAATAAGCTGCATTTTTTTTCTGAAGTCTATTTTTCTGTTCATTGAAATGTGAGTTGAAGCACTTTATTGGAACAAACTACAAAGGTATACAAAGTACTATAGACAGCAGTGTTTTGTATAAATGTCTCTCTCTGGGACTTTTATTTGACACAGAGATCACTCCCCCACACCTTGAAACACTCTACATTAGATGCTTTGGTCTCAGACTTGAGTCTCGTGCCACCGGCTGTCCTTTGTCCTCCGGGCTGTTTGTCAGCTGGTAGACTGGAAGAACCAGTGTAGCCATGACACTGTGCTATATAAGCTGTGCGCTGTCTGTCAAGAGTGTGACTGTGTAGTGCGAGACATTCATTCATCCACTTGAATTCCACATTTGGTGATTTTTTAATATATGTTTTTGCTCGAATTTAAACTTTATAAGGTGTTGACATCATCCTTAAAATGGTAGTCTGAAAAAATGCACTCAATCATAACCACGTCACAACTGGATCTTAAAGAGAATATTTTTCTAAACCTTAGTGGAAATAGTACATTGGCACAGGTTTCAAAAGAGGGAGAAAAAATCAATCGTTTGTCATTTTAATCACAAACACACACACTTGCACATTACTTCGGGTATACACACGCTCATTTTCAATCTTCATGCAGATCCATACAGTAAAGGCTCAGTGTATCTTATAGTTTATCCCCACTCTCCTCTCCCATCAGAGCCAATTTCTACTTGATTACATTCTGAGTGTTACTGATTAAGATTCACTTACAATTGCTTGCATTTAAACATCCTGCTGGTGTGTGTGTGTGTGTGTGTGTGTGTGTGTGTGTGTGTGTGTGTGTGTGTGTGTGTGTTTGTGCACGGTGAGCAGGACGGGGGATTGCAAACACATCTTATTTAATATTAAATTATTTCTGATAAACATAGACACATGTGGCTTTTGTTTTAGTTCACCTCTCTGAGCTGCACCCATACTGTGCCAGTCTGATGGGATCCATGATGCAGGTTACACATTCTGAGCCAGGCCAGACATTGGCGTTTCATTCAGTCCAACATGGTTCACAGTCACAATTTAATAAAAGAGGGCTGCACGAATTTGGCCTGAAATAATCAGAGTTATTTATCATGATGACTGAATTGTTGATTCTGGATGCTGTATTATAATTTTACATTTACAAAACTGCCTTCACTTCCACTTTGATGTTAATAGACAGATAAATGGAACTTGCTCTTAATATTCCAACCTCTTAATCAAAATAATACATCATAATAACACATCATCATCGCAGTTATTGTCTGATTAATCGTGCAACTGAAGCTCGCAGCAACTGATTTTTATAATATTTGTAAAACATTTTAGTCCATTTGTCTAACACTGGATGTAGGGATGCACCGATCTACATTTTCCGATCCGATCCCGATACCTTAATTTGGATATTGGCCGATACTGATACTATTCCGATACCAGAGCTCTGTTTGCTTTAATATTATTATTATCATTATTGTTGATTATATATGAGGCTGAAATAAACTCCTCTCAACAGGCAAGTATGATATGTACGTATGTATGCATGTATGTCCCAAAAGGCAACTTGAGGTAAGTATAAGGTCAGAAAAGGAAGTCAGAAAAACAGGAAATCCTGTTAACAGGAAAAATTCCATCCTGAAAACAAATATGCAACTGTAAAGGTTTCAAATTGATTGTCATGTCAATATTTATTAAATGCCCAAAATCTCAAATATTTGAAATATAAGAAAAGTGCAATAAGTGTAAACATCTTACACACACACACACACACACACACACACACACACACACACACACACACACACACACTAATCTCTTTAGCTTTCACGTTGTCTGCCTGGAGTTTACCTTGTTTTTGGAATGACTCCAGAAGTGATTCCTGTCAGCTCCTTTTGTCTTTCTGCCCCTGCTCTTCTTCTTCTTCATATGGATTTCCGGCAGTTTAGATGCTTCTAGGCGTATTACTGCCCTCCTCAGGAAGTCACTCTAAGGATAATGTTACTGCTTCAAATTTTCATATATAGCCCTGTATTGTGTAAGAACTGTAATACTACTTTTACAATCAAGTGGTGGTTCTCATTTTGACCCAATAATCCTCGTGCTCTTTTGTGTGGTGCTTTTTTAAATGTTTGACTGTGTTCGTAGTGTTGTACGATGCGAGGGAGCTTACGCCTCTCTGAATCACGACTTTGCTAGCTGGCTGGAAACTGCGGAATGGATTTCCTGAGCGGTGGCGTGTCTCATAACTCTGTGTCTCATTGAGCCGTGCCTCCGTTCAGGAAATCCATTCCACAGTTTGCAGCCAGCTAGCAGACTGGCCGGCAGGAATCACTTGTGGAGTCATTTCAGCAGACAACGTTAAAGTGCAGACATGGCTCATGGATATCGGATATCTCTGCAGGTTGGATCGGCCCCATTCCAAACTGGGTGTAGTTTAAAGTATAATAACAGAATAACATACAATTTTGGGTGATTTACTTCGTAAATACTTTGGAAGTATTTAAAATAATAAAAAATAGGGAAATAACACAATATACACAAACATGCCATTATGAAATGTGATCTTTTTGGGAGTTTTCCCCGTTCTGAAAGAGGAAGCTATTCTCATGTATTAATCTGCCAAACAGAGGAAGTATAAAACTATGCGGATGTGAAGAGATGTCAAAACATGAGAAAACAGATATGAGGATATGGTTTTTTCCAACAGCCAACCTTCAGAAGTCGTCTTTCTCTCAGAGAACTATGACAACACACTTAAAAACATACAGACTAGAAGATATGTACATCAAAACTGTACTTATTCTCTCAGGAGCAGTTTTCATCTATGCGCAAAGTAAGTATGGTTATTTCCCTCTAACTGTTCCATTTGCTTCTAGAAAATAGGAACCAAATCACACATTCACAGGTGAATTGATGTATGGATTGTTATTTTTTTTATAGGAGGTTGGGAACTTTGTTACAACTATGGCTGCTTTGAGACAAGTGACACTCACATGTCTTTGACACTGGATGATGACGATATCTACTATGCAGACTTTAAAAAAGATCGTCTCATTTGGGAAAGCAGACTGCCTACAAGTTTCCAGGTTTCCTGGGCTTACAGTTATGCAGAATATTACCGATCTATATGCAAAGGTGATGTGTACCGATGGAAACCAGACAAGTCAGCTGCAACAAAGACTAAAGGTAAGTGATCCTAAACATGTAACATTGTTACGTTCACTGTGTACTTTTGACAAAGATACTTTATCCATTTAGCACTGGGTTCTTTTTCATAAAAATATAGAAAATTTAAAGTGCACTAAATTATGTGTTAATTTCCCCATCAGTGGCACCGACAATCATCGTCTACCCCAGAGATGAAGTAATAAAAGAGGAACAGAATACTCTCATCTGCTTCATCAACCATTTCTTCCCTCCCTCCATCGACATAAAGTGGACCAAGAATGATATAGAAATAACAGAGGAAGATCCTTTCAACAAATGCTTACCTAATCCTGATGGGACGTTTCATGTTTTGTCCACCCTGGACTTTGTCCCAAGGGAAGGAGACATCTACAGCTGCACTGTGGAACATGAGTCACTGGAGGCGCCTCAGACCAAGTTTTGGGGTAAGAACAAACAAATGTTATGTAGTGTTTCAATATTCTTTTGACTGGCCTGATAGAAATGTATCGTTAATCATTAACATTAAAATATTTTCTCCCCAGAGGTGGACACAGATGAGACTAGTATTGGTCCAGCTGTCTTTTGTGGACTTGGCCTGAGTCTCGGACTTCTTGGAGTTGCTGTAGGAACATTTCTTTTTGTGAAAGGAAACACATATCGGGGCATCCTGGAGGGCTAGTGGGTCAGATGTATACCACATTCAGCACTGTGATCACATTGTCCCTGTCACATGTTTCTGGCCAGCAACATTTGTTTCATTCCTACTTTTTCTGTTGCCTTGTTTCACCTCTGAACAGTTACCTATTGATTAAAAATGCCCAAGATACCTTTAACAAAAGGAAACGTATATGAATCTGAATTAGAAATGTTCTTCCTCTCCTGTGCTGTATGACAAAATACACAATACAGGTTTGTCTTTGATATTTGTGTTGCTACTTGTTTTTCACGATATTCATTACATTTATAACCATTTATATATTTATTTAACTCATAATAAATGTACCTGATTGTGACTACGAGTCATTGAGCTGTGACTATAGAACAAAAAATAAACGTATTATGTTTGAATAACCACCTTATTATGAAGATTGACAACTTCTCTTCCACCTAGCATGTGCTATGAGGTTCCACAAAGCTCTATTTTGGGACATATCCTTGAGTCTGTTACAGTTACACACATACAGAAAAATGAATCCCCATGGAAGAAAGCTCAACAATAAAACAGTGATAATACTTCAATTCAATAAAATTGTGAGTAATGGTAATGGCAAGAGGAAGCAATTCACTCTTCTACACTGACAATTAGCTACTTGATTAAATGAACAAAATCGCTCAAATAGATCCATTGTGACCTTACGAATACACACTGAAGAAGAGCGTCTTGCCCGAAACATCCATGTGGCAAAATTCCCCAGCAAAAATAACAATTGTTGCTGTTATTGTAATGGCCAGAGGGAGTTTCCACCCAGTAAAGGGGGGGGTGCTTTCTTTTGCTCATTTCCTTTTTTTGCTGTCATTTTAGTGAAACTGCGTTATTTTCCGAGTATCTGTCACACACCATAAATCCTTCACACCATAACAGCTTTGTTCCTGTAGTTACCTACTCGGGGGAAAACATGCATATGTATAATTTTCTTTTTGGTGTCTTTTTTTCTCTTTTCAGTCCAGGTGAGTTACATTACTCTTACACTTTAATCCATCAATTAAGTTTTAGTGATATAGTAATACATATATTTCTTTCCTTTGATTACAGTTTTCTCAGATGAAGATTATTCACAATTCGCAGCATGTTGTACATCGAAGGGTCCAGGTTTTACAGATATAGAGTATATCATTAAGAATTATTTTAATGATAAATTATTGATAGAGTACAACAGCACAAGAGGCAACTGGACAGGATTCACAGCCTATTCAATTGAGGAAGTAAAAAACTGGAACAGTGATCCCTATAATGCACTGCAGAGATCATTTGAAAAGAAAGTATTGTGTACAGACAACCTACACTTTGCTCAACAATTAGGTAAGAGTATTTTATTGTTAATGTTACTTAAATAAATTGTATTTATTTATTTTGAGGTGCTGTGGACATGCTCGTAGACCCTTTTCACAGCAGACATTTTAACTTGTCAAAGCAGGAAAAACAGGTGTAATGAATAATGTTAATGATGGCTGCATACCCTCTGACTTGGTATATGGGACACTTAACCTTTTAGACCTGACGGAGCCGGTACAGGGTCCGGTAAGCGCTACAATGCTTTACTGCCTGTAAAAAGTTAATAAAACGCTGTGGTGTTTTTTTTTGCAAATGTTTCCAAAAGAACGAGGCTTCAACTCTACCAAAACAACAGTCCAATTGTATTTTTCTCAAACACAGTTTGTTTGGAAATAATTTAAACAATTAACAAAAAAAATAACAGCTCTGTGAATGTAAGGGACAGTCGAAATGAAACGCAGCAGTACACATATATCCGCTCGCTTGACTCAGTCATGTTGGGTGTCAAATTAAACTAAAGAAGCTCATCTTTCTGCTGATACCAAGCAAAACATAATCGACCTAACCAGCTCATGTCAGCCCTGTAGCAAAGACGCAGCAAAATTTAGCATTTTAGCGTCAAAATGTGAAATTCTGTGTTTATGTCTCAATATCAAATAACAAAGCAATTGTCAACAACAGCGACAAATACTGTTTCCTTACCCTTTCTTGGTTAATATGGCTAGGGCTTAACAGGTTAATGGAATTGAGCCCTTGTTTAATGTTATTATTCACACCTGTGATTTTCCTGCTTCAACAATTCAAAATGTCTGCCATGAAAACTGTGTATTACATGTGAGAATCTGTGTATTTACACAGTACAGCTGATTCAGAAATATGCAATAAATACTTATCTGTGATACATGATAATGTAAAACAATATAAGTCTGACAAAAAGTGTGCTATCGATTTACAGAAAATGTGTACTGATGTTTTTTTCCTAATGGAAAATATAAAACGTTAACTTGTTGTTATTTGTTTCAGATAATGTTAGAGCTGTACCCACCGTTAAGCTGAAATTAGTAAAGCACCAGCCCATGCTCGTGTGCAGTGCCTACAACTTTTATCCAAAACAAATCAGAATGACGTGGTTGCGGAATGGCCAGGAAGTGACCTCAGCTGTCAGTTTTTCTGATGCCTTGCCTGATGGGGAATGGTATTACCAGATTCACTCCTACCTCGAGCACACCCCGACTGCAGGAGAAATAATTACCTGTGTGGTCGAACACCTCACCCTCTCTGAGCCAGCGCTTCACGTCTGGGGTAAGTGTAGCACTGTGATGCAAACTGCATGTAAGACAAGAATATGTGTCATGTATAAATGAAAGCGTCTCTTTCTCAATTTCTCACTAACTTAGATCCGTCCCTTCCTGCGCCAGAACGTGTTAAAATTGTTGTGGGACTGTGTGGTCTGATACTTGGTTTTATTATTGTGAGCTCTGGATTCATCTACTACAAGAAGATGTCTGCTGCATACTGTACTTTCTACCAAGGTGAAGACATAAGAGGAAATTAAATTCACTGTAAATGTAATTGACTTTGATACAGTGTTTGTATATTTGTCACTATGATAAATAGGTTCTTATCCTCATTTTAACAGGACGAGTGTCGATTCCTGTGGAACACCTCCCTGAAGCTGGAGCAACAAGTGGATAGTTTTAGTTATTGTAGTTTTAGTAACTTTCCGTTCATTTTATTCTCATAGTTGCTGTTAGGTGAGGGGCGGCGCTTTACAGCTTATGCATAATTACCACTGGACAGTGTAAATCAGAAAGCACACACATGTGTATGTATTTTAGTGCAGCCTATGTGGAAAGGCTGGGGTGGCGGTTTTATTTGTGCTTACAGTGTGGTGGTGGTCACAGTGAAGGAAGCTTGCAGCAAAAGCAATAAGATGTATGGAAATAGTGACACTGACATGTATTTATTGCTTTATGTCAACTGTAGTAAACAAAATCACAAAATAAATAAAGGTTTTGTATTGAATGAAATCTGTTTACTTGACAAGTTATTTTCGCATTTTAACCTTCAAGTAAAAGCAGTATTGGGTCTTTTACTGTATAAGGATGTGGCAGTGCTGTTTTAGGACAAGCTCAGCATGAGCTGGAGAGGCGGTCTTCTTAAGAACAATGATGGTATCATTTCAGCAAGTTCCCCAAAAGGACATATGTTTATGTTCAAGTAGTAACTATGATGGGAGCTACTGTGTCCTGTTTAAAATCAACAGTCAGCTTTTTTTAAATCATGACTACAAGCATTTCCTAACCTTAACCACGGGTAACCATGACGACAAACCTTAATGAAGTATTTATTTTCCAAACCACAGTCTTTTCCAGTATTGTTGACCCTTTTCACTCCTGTGCTCCACTCATATCCTGACCTCTCACTCTTCAAATGGCAACTTACATAATGAACTGTGATGTGATAAAAGATGTGTAGGATTTAATGGTATCTAGCAGTGAAGTTGCAGATTGCAACTAACTGAACACCACTCACGTCTGTATTTGAAAACCTGGACCACAAAAAAAACGCAAAAGCCACAATGGCGATTCAATATACCGGACTCTATGGAAGGCGACCTGCACCTCTGCATATAAAAACAGCTCATTCTAATGTACAAAAAAGCCCCACAACAATTCCTATATTCAAGTGACTAAACAGTAAGGAAAACATACCTATGAATATTATATTTAATTTCTGACAATAGATCCTCCTAAATGAGACACATTGAACCTTCAACAAATCTGAGGAAAAATCTAAGTCAATCCAAAATAACTTTACTCTGTTGTTACCTAATATGATTAGTTGGCACACATCATGCCCTGCCAAGGTGAAGACAACAGTATTATTTGTTGTTACTCTATTATATTGTTATTCAATATATTTGTTATAAATAATTGTTCTTATGCTTTTAACAGGAATAGTTTTGATTCCTGTGGATGACCTCCCTGCAGATTGGGCAGAAACTTAGCAGTCAGCACCATCCAAGATGGTCTCAATATGACAAAATATATTGTTGATTGTCACAATTCTATGTCTTAAGTCATAGTGACTATTGGATGAAGTGGTATGGCTCCATGTCAGAGTTTTGGTAGGTGATGTTAAATCTGGCCAATAGCCTTTGTTATGAGGCCATCCTCTAGATAATCAATGTGAAACCAGAACTTCTGGGATCTGTTCCTGAGGTAAAACAAATCACATCTGTAATAAGGAAAATGATTTGACCTTCATACAGCATAATAACAGTATGTTGTGGTAATATTTCTTTAAGCTGTGTAAACACCATTTCCTATAACCCCAAGACTGCAAGTTAAATGTCAGCCGTTTGGCCAGTCAGGGGGAATATGGTGGGATGAGAGAATGGACAAAAAAAGCTTGGATACGGATATGAGGGATTAGGGAGAAACTGTTATAGTGATGCATTATTGAAAAAAATGATACTAACTTCTCTGATGGATAGCAAACATTGATGAAAGAAACCCTCATTAGAGATTATTTTGAGTCATAGAAGCTTGCGAAACAGCAGCCTGAATATATGCATATAAACATTTAATAATTTAACAAATATAGAATCACATGAACCTTTTCAACTTGGATTGTAATTGAGGCTTTTAATTCATATTTTACAATGCACTGTTACTTTTACTCTGCTGTTTTAGCATATTAAAATGTTCTATTTGACTCTTTTTAATTGTATTTAAATGTCTTTTGTATTGCCTTATGTTACGTTTACATTTTGTCTTGAATTTGTATTTTTTTTTTGTATTATGTAAAGCACCTTTTTTTGTTGTTGAAATGTGTTTCAAATAAATAAATAACAACTAAACTTGCTTTCCCCTGCCTTACAAATAATGAGGAAATAATCAATCCAGTCACAGGTGTAGTTGCCCAACCAGAATTCCTTGCTGGTTGGCATAACACATGGTACAGTACCTTCTTTGCAGAAGCAGATCGAAATGCGATAATATAGTGAGGATTTTTTATCATATTATTTTATGGTGTTTATGACAACTTATGCAGAAAAATGAGGGCTTAGACTCCTAAATCTGCCAGTCATCCACCAAAATAAGGGGGGGTGTATCCTCTGCTTTATGTTATGCAGATGATGTTAGACACAAGTAAAGTATTTCCTGGTAGGTGAACTAATCAAACCTTTTTAACTGGACAGGCTTCTCATTTTGCAGTTGCTTCTTAATCTATGTTGAGCATTGCCTTGTCCTTTCCAATCAACTGTGGGGGCTTCCCCAGGTCCAAAGCAGAGAAAATATGAGCTAGTAGCAGATGGAGAGATTGTTATTGTATGCAAGACCAAATCAAGATAACATTTGTGGTCAGTCCTTTCCTCTCTCATTATTTCTCCCGTCCTCTTCTTTTCGTGCTTACTTCGTGCTACTGCTCATCTCAGCAGGGTTGTAAGAAGTACACTGTGCACTCTCTGTCTATGCATAATAAATGAGATAGTTTTCCCCAAGCAACCAGAAATTCAAGTTGTACCAAAACACTCCAGAGTGGAACATAGGGGACAAAAGGCTTATGTAACATGGAGAGAGACTTATTTATCAACCAACATAACAAGGCCTATTAAAAAATATCACCTGGTCCTTGCTCAAGGCTTAGTTCTAGGTGAGGAATTGACTAAGAATATTGTGTTTTGCTAGCAGAGTAAATAATTCTTAAGTGGCAGTCGGCTTGCAATGTTTGTTTGTGTGCCCACACAACTATATTATGATTGTGATACAAATAACATCAATGTGCATTGCTCCTACTGCATATCACAACTAAGCATCCACCTGTGGGTTATGCTTTATTCTTTGTTCTCCACAGGGGGGTTGATTGATCTCTTCCTGCTCCTGCCTCTTACTGACTTTAAATTAAGCATTGCAGGAAGTGATATTAAACAGTCTAGATGGCATAGTAAAATCCATATTTACATATGTTCTCGGTGAAATTGCTCTATTTGATATGCGAGTTGACTCACAACATGTTTCTCATGTTACAGTCTCTTGAACACCACAAACAGTTCCAAAATGTGTGTGTTTGTTTGTGTGTCTGCTGTACCTGTATGACTTGTATGAGGAAATGGATTTAATGCATCACAGTTAACAGGGACAACATGTAGCATTCATTCATTCATTCAAGTTATGACTTGCTTTTTTTTTTTTTTTTATCTCTGCTTGTGTCTTTCTCTGACGGTCCCCTTTTCTTCACAGTGAGTATCTCTGATCTCATCCTCTTCTCACATTACACAAAAATCGATCCAATTTAAAAGGCTCTACTCATCAGTAAAACACTCCCTGCACTTTAGGATCTCAGTATATTAAGTGAACCAGCACCACAGGGTATCAGCGGTTACACATCAAATGCTAAATGCCAAAAAAGACACTTGCTTTTCCCGCTAGAACATGCAGTTAAAAAAAGTCTGTAGTCTGCAGCCGCGCTTTTAGACTGTACTTAGGTTGCTTTGAACTAAATGCTGTCATCTGTATGCTAACTTGCTCACAATGACAATGCTAACATGCTTGGAAAGTCAGAGGATAACTGAAGTCATAACTGAAGTAGGTATCATAATCTGAAAACCATGAACGTCTTTACCAAATGATGTGCCAATTCATCTGGTAGACGTTGGGATTTTTCACTAAAAGCAGAAAATGTCAACCTATCGGTGGACAGAGGCTCACCACAGTCACTAGGATTCATCCTTTGGGCACCCTGAACCTATATGACACTTTAAGGCAATCAGTGCGACAGTTGCTGAGATATTTCAGTCCGGACCAAAGTGGTGAACTGGCAGATATATTGCCATCCCTACAGCCGTTCCATTAGCATTGTTATAAATCCTTGCTGCAGCACCACTTTCTCTCTCTCCTCTCTTTCCTGTCACTCTATAGCTGTTACCATCAATTGGGCAATAACCCAAAAAATATTCCTTTGGCAAAGAAGAGTAAGAGTAGATTGCTCCATTTGATGACATCTGACACACATGAATGCATAAGCTCTTAGGAGGAGGCAGATGTGAGAGCAAATCATTAGACGTGACTTAAATTATATATAAACATACATATAAACACTGCAGTCCAATAATATTCTAAAATGCATTGTTAGTTCTGAAATATTATGAAGGTATTATTGTTGGGTTTTGAAATGAGGAGTTGTGTTCCCGTAAAAGGGTGCGCTCAGGCTGACATAATGATGCTCTCAAACCTGGCTCATGGAGACAAGAATCAAAGACAGAGAGTGTGGGGGGGGGGAATGAGAAAGAACTAGGAAGAGGGGAAAAGTCAGTAATGCAAAGTAAAAGAATGTCGGCGGAGAAAAGGCTGAAAGAGAAAGTGACATGAATCCTTTAAACGGGAAGAGGAGCAGGAGTAGTGGGGAAGGCAAGAGAGAGACAGCTGTCCTCAATCAAATCCTCTTATATAATGGCTCAACAGTCTGTCAGTTGCCTGAACATTTTCTTCTGCAGCATTGCCTTCTCCTGGCTCTCGCTCATCATCTCTACCTCTCCTTGACACTCGAATCCTCGATCCTGTCCCTCTCTCCTCTTCTCATGCATGCATATGAACGCATCATTTCAGTCAGGCCACCCGGCGCGCTACCAGGCAGGGAGAAAAGATGATGCATAGTGGAGTGATCCGGAGTGAGTGATCTTGACGTTATGTAATATTTGATTCAGTGACCTCGGACACTGCGGAGATGCAGGATGAGAAGAGACGGGTGGAGAGGAAGAGTGTGGGGAAAAGGGGTAGAGAGGGAAACACAACAGGAGAGTGCTCTCTCCCACTTGCAGCGATCAGAATTAATAAGTTACGCCTCTCCACGTCTTTGACATAGTTTATGTAATGTTTTTGCCCCGGGCAAGTGGCTTTAAGAAGACCTCTCTGTGCACATCAGGGCTGGTGTCATTTCCACTTCAATCCATTCATAATAATGATCGGAAACTATTTTGTCTATTTCTGCTACTGAAGTGCAAGTGAATTTCACCCAGTGATGC